TATTTTCAATCTCATCGGGAGTTCCAATAATATTTAAGTCATCAACATATACTGCAATTATGGCGAATCCCAAATTTAATCGCCGGATGAAAACACATGGACTAATTGGATCATTCTTATATCCTTCCTTAAGAAGGTATTCACTGAGACGATTATACCACATTCGTCCAGATTGTTTTAGTCCATACAATGACTTTTGTAGTTTAATGGAAAACATTTCTCGAGGTTTCGAGCTATAAGCTTCAGGCATTTTAAATCCTCCGGGAACTTTCATATAAATGTCTGTATCGAGTGAACCGTATAAATATGCAGTTACTACATCCATTAGGCGCATTTGCAGCCTTTCAAAAACAGACATGCCAATGAGAAACCTTAATGTAGTTGCATCAACTACTGGAGAATAGGTTTCTTCATAATCAATTCCCGGCATTTGAGAAAACCCTTGAGCAACAAGTCGGGCTTTATATCTTACAATTTCATTTTTCTCATTGCGTTTACGCACAAATACCCATTTAAAGCCTACTGGTTTTACGCCTTTTGGCGTAGGGACTATCGGTCCAAAAACATCACGTTTTTCAAGTGATTTCAATTCAGCCTGAATTGCTTCATTCCATTTTGGCCAATCGTGTCGTTTCCGACATTCTTCTATTGATGTTGGCTCATTGTCATTGTTTTCATTCATAACATTTGTGGCAACGGCATAGACAAATATCTCATTAATATCAATATCTTTACGATTCCATTGCATTCCCGTAGAAACGTAGTTTATTGAAATTTCATAATTATCAACGTTTCTATCATTATCTGGAATATCTTCCTCATTTAAGGAAGTTGGATCATCATTTGAGATATTTGTTTTGTCAATATCATTTTCTATGCCAATATTTTCAAATTGTTCATTTTCTTGTTCAGAAGGAAGAACATCTTTGGCATCACAGATCGATTCCTGCCTTTTAGTTTTTCTTGGTTTTATATCTTTCGATCCAAGTGGCCTGCCACGCTTTTTGCGTATAGAAGAATCGTTTGCAAAAGATTTTTCAGAATTCTCTGTTGGGATTTCAATTCTGGCAGGGGCATTCATGGCAGGAATATGTGACTTTGTCACTTTCTTTGTGTCTGTAAATGCATCAGGCAACTGATTTGCAACATTTTGTAAATGGATTATCTTTTGCACCTCTTGCTCACATATATTTGATTTTGAGTCAAGATGTGATAATCCTGTTGCATTCCATGTTATTTCTTTCGTACTTGGGTCCGATTTATTAGTTTCTCCCCCTAAGGTTGGGAATACTGTCTCATTGAAATGACAGTCAGCGAACCGTGCGGTGAATAAGTCACCAGTCATCGGTTCAAGATATTTGATTATTGAGGGAGATTCAAATCCAACATAAATTCTCAACCTTCTTTGAGGACCCATTTTTGTACGATAAGGTGGAGCAATCGGAACATAAACAACACAACCAAATATTTTAATGTGTGCTAAGTTTGGCTCTTGTCCAGTAACTAATTGCATTGGAGAATATTCATGATATGCAGTCGGTCTAAGCCGAATTAAATTTGCTGCATGTAAAATAGCATGTCCCCAAGCTGATGAAGGTAAATTACACTTCATTAATAATGGTCTAGCGATTAATTGTAATCGTTTAATCAAAGATTCAGCAAGACCATTTTGTGTATGGACATGAGCAACAGGATGCTCCACATCAATCCCAATCGACATACAATAGTGCCTGATGAGAGCACCAAAGTCGAGAAGTTTATTCGTGGATTAAACTTTGATACACAAAAAACCGTCGCTGTTTTGGGTTGCCAAACTCTGACGGATGCCTATGATAGAGCTGCAGTTCACTATCGCGTTCAGCAGTTACAAAGAGAGAGAAACCAAAAAATGAAGAGGTACGGAGATGAGGAGAGAGGTCGGGGAGAAAAGAGGTTTAGGGCGAACCCACCTACACAACAACAAGAACGGAGGGAGAGGAGAGATGACCAAAGCGGAAGAAATTTCTGTGGTCAAAACCAGCAAAATGATCGGAGAGCTGCTCCTAGAGATAGGCACTTCTACTGCAAGAAGTGCGGGAGAGATCACCCCGCGGTTAACTGCGATGGGAGCCTAACCAAATGTTTCAATTGCGGGAAGCTAGGGCACCGATCCTTCGAGTGTCTGTCAAAGACCAATGGGACACCATTGAACCAGGTGCAATATCATGATGGAAACCGAACCGGGCCTAATGGCGGGCAAAACAACAACAATGTCGTCGCCATCAACAACAACCGCAACCCTTGAGGAGGAGGGGAGAATAATCGCGGTCACGGTAATGGAGGTAACCAAGGAAATGGCGGGAACAATGGCAATGGCGGAAATAACGGCAACCGTCCGAACCAAGGGTGAATCATGGTAATGAACCAAACCCAAGCCAATGCCAATGATGTGGTCTCAGGTACATTCCTTGTAAATTCTGAGCCTGCTTATGTTCTATTTGATTCTGGTGCTTCTCACAGTTTCATATCTTCTAATTTCGTTAAGAGATTAAAGATTGAACCAACAGCTAGAATAGACTTGAATGTAAGAACTGCCTCAGATAAAATTGTAACTTGTGGAAATGTATACTCCAACATTTCCGTACTCATATGTGAGTCCAACCTACCTGGAGACTTAATCCAATTTGACTTAGAAGATATAGATGTAGTACTGGGCATGGACTGGTTGGGGAAGTACAAAGCTAGGATTCTATGTGATGAACAGAAGGTGATCTTGAAGGGTCCAAATGGGAAGAGAATATCTTACAAAGCAATCACAAACAAGCCCAGTATGAAGCTGATGACTATGCGACAATTACGACAACATATTCGAAAGGGGTATGAAACCTACTTGTGTTTGATGAAAGAGGTGAATATAGAAGAGCCAAACATTGACCAAATTGCTGTAGTCAACGAATTTCCGGACGTATTTCCGGAAGAGATTCCGGGAATGCCGCCCGAAAGAGAAGTTGAATTCTCAATTGAGTTGATGCCCGGAACTGCACCAATTTCAAAAGCACCTTACCGGATGGCACCAAAAGAAATGCAAGAACTGAAGGAGCAAATGGAGGAGCTATTAGAAAAGGGTTACATAAGGCCGAGTGTCTCACCTTGGGGCGCTCCGGTCTTATTTGTCAAAAAGAAAGATGGGAGTCTAAGGCTATGTATCGATTACCGGGAGTTGAATCAAGCAACTATCAAGAACAAATATCCATTACCCCGGATTGACGACTTGTTTGATCAATTAAAAGGGGCTAGCACGTTCTCTAAGATAGACTTGCGCGCTGGCTACCATCAAGTGAGAATAGCCGAGAAAGATGTACCAAAGACAACATTCCACACAAGGTATGGACATTACGAGTTCACTGTGATGTCGTTTGGTTTAACTAATGCACCAGCGGTATTCATGGATCTAATGAACCGTGTATTCCGACCTTACCTTGATACCTTTGTAGTGGTATTCATTGATGATATCCTCGTATATTCAAAACCCCCGGAGGATCACGAGAAACACTTGAGACTCACATTGCAAACTTTGAGAGAGAACCAGTTGTATGCAAAACTCTCAAAGTGCGACTTCTGGCAGGATCGAGTAGCGTTCTTGGGTCACATTATCACCCAAGAGGGCGTATCCGTAGATCCATCCAAGATTAAGGCGGTGATTGAGTGGCGTGCACCTACCTCGGTCACGGATGTAAGAAGTTTCTTGGGTTTAGCCGGTTACTATCGGAGATTTGTTAAAGATTTCTCCAAGATAGCAAGACCGTTAACCAACCTGACGAAGAAGACAACCAAGTTCTATTGGGATGAAGATTGTGAAGCGGCATTTCAAGAGTTGAAGAAAAGACTCACAACCGCGCCGGTCTTGACATTACCGTCAGGGACAGAGGGGTTCGATATCTATAGCGATGCATCTAAGAAGGGGTTGGGGTGTGTGCTTATGCAGAATAGGAAAGTGGTGGCTTATGCATCAAGACAATTGAAGGTGCATGAAGTTAACTATCCTACTCATGAATTGGAGTTAGCTGCAGTAGTGTTTGCACTGAAAATCTGGAGACATTACCTATACGGAGCACAATGTAAGATATACACTGACCACAAAAGCTTGAAGTACATATTCACTCAAAAAGAGCTTAACATGAGGCAAAGAAGATGGCTCGAACTTCTAAGTGATTACGACTTGGAAATCCAATACCACGAGGGAAAATCTAATGTGGTGGCGGATGCTTTGAGCAGGAAATCTGAGCACTCATGCCGAGCAACATGGATATTACCAGAAGAACTGTTCCGAGACTTTCAAAGATTGAACTTGGAAGTAAAACAATATGGCGAAGTAGATAGTGAAATACAGTTATGTACTATGACCGTTACACCATCTATCTTCGAGGAGATCAAGAATGGGCAACCGGGAGATGTGAAGCTCGAGAGAATCAAGGAAAGAATGAAAGATGGGGTCAATGGGCCATTCAGGACACATGAAGATGGGAGCATCCGATACAAGGGAAGGTGGTGTGTTCCTCTGAAGTGTGCAAATATTAAAAGACAAATCATGGAGGAGGGACACAACACTCCCTACTCAGTACATCCCGGGGGAGACAAACTATACAAAGACCTCAAAAAGAACTTTTGGTGGCCGGGAATGAAGAGAGAAGTAGCTGAATTCGTATCCCGATGTTTGAATTGCCAAAAAGTCAAAGCAGAGAGATGTAAACCCAAGGGACTTGTGCAACCCTTGGAAGTACCTAAATGGAAGTGGGATTCCATCTTGATGGATTTTGTTGGAGGGTTACCCTTAACTAAATCAGGAAGAGATAAGATTTGGGTAATCGTTGACCGATTAACCAAAACTGCAAGATTTATTCCCATGAATGAAACTTGGAGCATGAACAAGCTCGCCAAAGCCTATGTGAAATACGTGGTCAAACACCACGGAGTACCTCAAGACATCATATCGGATCGAGATTCACGATTCTTATCTCAATTATGGAAGGAATTACAAACGGCTATGGGGACAAAATTGAAGTTAAGTACTGCTTTTCATCCAACCACGGATGGACAGACCGAAAGAACAATCCAAACGTTAGAAGACATGTTGAGGGCATGTGTTCTTGATTTGCAAGGATCATGGGATGAGCACCTAGACTTAATAGAGTTTTCGTACAATAACAGTTACCATGCTAGCATCGGAATGGCCCCGTACGAAGCTCTATACGGTCAAAAGTGTAGAAGTCCCTTATGTTGGGGTGACATTGTCGATCAGGTGGTTCTAGGACCACAATACTTGCAAGATACCATAGAGAAAGTCAAAGTCATCCAAGAGAGGATGAAGGTTGCCCAAGACCGACATAAATCATATGCCGATCTTGGGAGGAAGCCAGCTGAATTCGAGATAGGGGAGAAAGTTCTACTCAAAGTCTCTCCTACAAGGGGAGTAATGAGGTTCGGGAAGAAAGGGAAACTAAGCCCGAGGTTCATCGGACCCTACGACATCCTAGAGAAGGTGGGAAAAGTGGCATATCGATTAGCTCTACCCACAGAGTTGGATAAGGTAACAAACGATTTTAAAACAAGATACTTTTCAACGATTAGATTTCATCCTTAACATACAGAGTTGTGCTAGGTACATAACGTCTTTCACGTATCACAATTAAAGAAGTACGTTCGAGATGAGTCACATATCATCAATCCTGAGGTAAGAGACCCTAAACTTAACATGAACCAAAGTAAACTGGAAATAATATAAGCTAACCCTTATATTATTAGGTGATTGAAATGGATGAGGCGTTATCCTACGAAGAAAAACCCGTAGAGATCCTTGATACTAAAACCCGAGAGACGAGGAAGAAGAAAGTTAAGATGGTAAAAGTACTTTGGTCAAACCATTTGACCGAGAATGCAACATGGGAGACAGAAGAGGATATGCGTAAACGGTATCCTGAACTGTTCAACTAAGGTAAATATTGGGTTACGAGGACGTAACCTTTCTTTTAGGGGGGTAGGATGTAACATCTTATAAACTTGTAATACTTCATCTTCATACTTAATTCTCGTCTTAGTTTATGCTTCGAGGACGAAGCATTCTTTAAGGAGGGTAGAATGTGATACCTTGAAAATTTGAAATAAAAATAAATAAATAAATAAATCAGATAAGTTATATCTGATAAATCAAATGAAAGTAATATAAAAATATTTTGTATTATACTTGGTGTATAAAAATATATGCATGCTACATGCAATAAAATTAAACACTTATGTGGCATAAAAAAATAAAAAAATAAAAAATAAAATAGAAAAAAAAATCAGATAAAATATAGATGACGGAATAAATAATAATAAATAAATAAATAAATAAAAATAGTAAGAATATTAAAAATTTCTAATAATAGCATCAAATTAATAAATGAAAATATTAGATCATAAAACAATGACACATGCTAGGATCACCTACCAAATAATGTATATACATTATATACATATTTTTACATATATAATTATATATATTTATATGTAAAAATTAAAATAAAAGAAAATAAAATAAAATAAAATTAAACATCAGCATAAATGGGAATCAAATCATGAATCAATACACATGCCATGTTCATCAACTACCAACCTATCATATACATTATTATTATTATTATTATTATTATTATTCATACAATTATCAAATAAATAAAATAAACCATAAGGACCATCTAGACCTATAAATACACCCTCTTAGCCATCCCAAACACTGCAAATCGGAGAGATAGAAGCTATATATATACATATACATATATATACATAATCTCGCCGAAAAATTTATATCTATTATATTTTACGTATCAAACTTCGTAAAAACGATAGAGGAGGGTCGTGAGAGGTCTAGGAATACTCCCCAATAAATTCCAGACCGATTCGTAGTCACCGGAGCATCCTAGAGCTCACCGGAGTTACAAGTCGTGGAAGCAGGTGTTCAGAAAAAGCGGATATTTTGCCGTAGATAGGGGTGGCGGAGCTTCGTCTTGCCGTCAGGATCATTTTGCAACTTGAATCGTTGAAATCCGTTACCTGTAAGTCAAGTTATAGCTCGCCGAAGTTTTTGTAATTCCGGTCGCCGGAAACCTGACCTGGAGAAGAGCTGGGAAGAAGACAACCCAGTCTTCTTGGGCCGGGTCGTGTATATTTGGGCCGGTTCAGCCCAGTTTCAATAAAAATTAAAAATAAAATAGTAAATGAAATACATAAAATCTGGAAAAATATAAATTAAATACCTAGTATAAATATACATATTATGACCAACCAGAATTGAAAGATAATATTTGTAGCTATTTTTAATTGATTTAATTGTAATTGGACCAATTTGTACATATTTAGTAAATAATTAACTAAATGACGAAATAAATTACGAAATAATTATTGGAGTAAACTAGATTAAATATATGACTAACTAGGACATTTGGGACCATTTGTAATTAATAAAAATTATGATTAGTATATTTAATTGTAATTAAACCGGTTAATAGAGATATGGAATTAAATGAATAAATAAGGGAAATAATTCTAAAATAAATATCTGGACAACCTAGGTCAAATATAGACACCAAATATAGTTATGAACTATTATAAATTTATAAAGTCGATTATTAAGCTATTTAATTTAATTGGGCCATATAAAACTAGTTAAGTAATTAAATAAGAAAATTGATTAATAATGGTGAAATAAATAAAATCACTAAGATGGGAAATAATATTATGGACTAAAAATGAGGTTTGGAATAAAATAAAGAAAAGAAAATAAAGTTGGGATAGCTAGTATAAATGAATGACTATATTTGGACTTAATAAATAAATCATTTAATTAGTGGACTAATTAAATTAGTGTGATTAAATTAATAATTATCATCCTTAATTGTTACTTTTTGGACTCCATATAAATTATTAAACTATATGAACTCATAAAAATTAGTTGATTAATACAAACTAATTAATTCAGTAATATGTACTTGATAATTTAGTTAATCGACTCCATTAGACTAGTTTAACTAAATCAATTAGTTTAATGGATAAATTAATTAAATTATGGACGTATTAATATTTTTGGACTTTATATTAAAAATATAAAATTAAAACGAAATTAGAATTTGATTGATTGCCTTAATTGAATTAGATTAATGTAGTTAACTATATTTATATAATTAAACTTATTTAGTTGATGAAATTAATTAAATTAATTTAGTTAGCCAAATAAATAAACTGGAGGATTGAATTAGTTATGGTAATTGGATTAGTTAGTATATATAAACTATTAAACTAATTAAAGTTATTATTGAGAATAGATTATCATTAATGATTAATATTTCGAATTATTGCTTACGGAAAATTATTATTCAAAGGTTTATTAAATAAATTATATAAATTATGTAAACTGAAATTGAACTGAAATTGATTATTTAAATTCGAAATATTGAAACTATTATGTAATTAATTTAGATAGACTAGTTTAACTGATTAACCAAATAAGTTAAAGTAAATTATGGAGGGGATTAGTATGATTAAAGAAAATAATAAGGTTGGACTGAAAATTAACATTTAAATAAGATTTATGGATCTAACCTAAAAGTTGTATTTAAAGAAGGAATAATGAAGTTAAAATAACTAAAGGTTGAATAGATAGGAAATAACAAAAATAATAGAATAGTTATTGATTTAGAATTTTGATATATATTAGAAGGAGAATTCAAGTGAAGACCAAGCTAGAGATTTTATTAAGAGGATTATCGCAATTTAAGGTAAGTTCTATGTCAGCCAAAAATATTTTATCTCGTATTTATATGTATGCAATATTTGAACTATGTGAACTATTTATGAATTGGAAACTATTTGTTTGACATGGAATGAATATTTTGAATGTATGGATATTGGTGGATTATTACCTATTATGGATTATTGAATGTATATGCTTTTTATTAAAGAATATTGGTGGATTGATATTTATTACAAAGTATATTTTTGGAAAGTGCGACAAGAATGACTTTGGGAAAAACTTAAAGTTTTTCATAATATATTTTTACGTCTCGAGAGAAACACGAGGCGTGGGTGATTAGGACTACTACTACTTTTGGTGAAATTTATTTGGGTCGGTAACCAGTCCGGCAATGACATGCTCCGGTAGACATCCCGGGCTTTTATTTGAGGACCAAAGGTCCTTTGGTGGTTGTAGTAGTAGTTATCTAATTTACCCTTGGACAATGTCCCTTGTGAGTAGGTGGTAGAAAACATTCTGCCTACTTGAGTTTCTTACTACTCGGAGGGCTTGGAATCCCTTTTAGAGGGTGTGCACACTTAAGGTAGAAATTCAGCTTCCAAATTGGTGGTCGGTGGGAGCCGGAATTCCGGGATGAGTCGTAAATAACAATGACTCGTTGGGCTCGAGGAATCTTGAGTTTCGCCCACTCTTAAAAGAAATCTAAAGTATTACTTTTGGAGGAATTGAGGAATGACATTATCTATTAAAGAAATTATTTTGAGACATGAAGTTATTTTGGAGATATGAGAGGGTATTTTCTATATATATACCTATACCAAACCTATTTTCCAAATTATATTATTTTACGGGTTCGGGGTGGAATCTTACTTAGCTCTAAAGCTAATTTTTGTCTCTTTTGTCTTCTTCTCTTTGCTCTATTGTACAGATGATTATGATTATGAAGATTGATGTACTTGCTGCCCGAGTGTTCCGCTAGTTGCACACGTTTGATTAATTATCGTTGTTTAAATTTGTAATTCATAAACTTTGTCCTAAGACCCATTTCATTGTTATTTGAACTTATGGTGGATAGCTTGTGCACTCAATCATGTATAGGTTGAGTGTGGCGGTGACGCACCTGTTTTTCCCTTAAAGACTTCCGCTGTATTCTAAATATGTTTAATAATAAAGATGGTTTCATTTAAAAATGTGATTTTATTTGGGTGGGAAAAATGGGGGTGTTACACTATCGGCCCACAAATATCTCCTTGAATCCTTTCTAAAAATGCAGGTGATTCAGTTGCAATTTTGTTCATAGAAGGCCTGATGATCATTTTGCCAAGAGAACAGGCCTTACAAGGAAAATCACTTGATAATGGAACCCTGATATTCTTTAATGGGTGTCCAAGTGAGGTCTTAATGATTTTATGCATCATTACTTGGCCTGGGTGACCTAAACGGTCATGTCACAACATGAATGTTTTCTGATCATCTAACTTTGTGTTAGAAACCAAATTTACTTCAAATGAACTAATATATGTGAAATATAGTCCTGAGGAATATGGTGGCATTTTTTCACAAATATATTTAGTGCCAGATTTAGTTGTTGTAAGACAAATATATTCCTTTTGGTTTTCATTCATGGTTTCTATGTGATAACCATTTTGACGCATATCTTTAAAACTCAATAAATTCCTCCGCGATTTGCTGGAGTATAGAGCGTCATTTATAATTATTTGTGTCCCGTTAGGGAGCATCACATATGCTTTCCCAGAGCCTTCAATGAGCTTTGCAACACCTGATATGGTATTGACTTTAGCTTCAACTAAAGTCATTTGAGAAAAATATATTTTATTTCTCAAAATGGTGTGCGTTGTGGCGCTGTCTATCAGACATAGCTCTTTATCATTTGAGTGATCCATATCTTCAATATGTGCAAATAAACATAAGCTTGATCACAAATTGTACATATAATTTAACACAAAGTATATATATTACACATATTTATTTAAAAACAAAAGAAAAAGGCGAAGAAAGAAAAAGTACATAAAACTAATATGTTACAATATAAGGATTAGAGTCTAATATTTTATTTTGTGACATTTTGATTTATTGCAAAAGCATCGTCCATAATGGCATCATTCACGAAGAAGTCGGACACATCAAATTTTGTCAGAGGTGGAGTTGTGTCATTAACATAATTAGTTTCCACATTTTTGTCTTTATTCAGATTCATGGAAGCTTGAAATAACTCCACCAGATGTTTAGCCGTGCGACATTTATTAGCCCAGTGCCCCGTCATGCCACATTTATAACAAGTCGTTTTTACTGAGGTTTTTGTAGGGCGATTTATTTGATGAGCTTTTTGTTTGCCCTTGCCCTTGTAATTCGGTCTTTCGACCCGTTTATATCCTCTGTAAGACTTGTTATTATGACCACTAAAATGCCCACGTTTAAAATGCCTTCTACTGCCACTGTGTGTTGCATTTGATTCAGTGGCTAAATTATGGCCAGATGGACCATAAATCGAAGGACTAGAACCGGTGGGTCTCAAATTGTGGTTTTTCATCAAAAGATCATTGTTTTGCTCAGCTACCAATAATACTGATATTAAGTCAGAGTATTTTTTAAAACCCTTTTCTCTATATTGCTGTTGTAGCAGCATATTAGAGATATGCATAGTAGAAAAGGTTTTCTCCAACATATCAGCGTCAGTGACTTTTTGTCCACATAACTTTAATTTGGATGTTATTTGGAACATAGCAGAATTATAGTCACTGATAGATTTAAAGTCCTGGAATCTTAAATTGATCCAGTCATACTGAGCTTTTGGTAAAAGTACCTTTTGTTGGTGGCCATACCTCTCTTGTAAATTGTCCCATAATTCTTTTGGATCATCAACCAAAAGATATTCAGATTTGAGACTTTCATGGAGGTGGTGACGGAGGAAAATTATAGCTTTCGCTTTATCCTGGGAAGATGATTGATTAATAGCCTCAATAGTGTCTTCGAGACCATTAGCCTTCAAATGTGCTAAAGCGTCAACTTTCCATTCCAAATATTTTTGACCGGACAAATCAAGAACGTCGAATTCTCTTTTGCTTATGTTTGCCATGATTTACTACATAATTATTGAGTTAACTTTAATTAGTAAATTATACTCATGTGGGTATGTGCATATTATATACTAATAGCATTATATAAATGATATAAACATATCACTATTAATCTACCGTAATAATAATAAAAAATATATCACATACTCGTATTTTTTATCTTCAGAAAGAGACAAAAGAGATAAATCCATGAGTGATGTGTGTCCATATATCTTTCTTATATCTATTCCTAACTTGTACTTGGTGTATACGTGCCTTACAACTATAAAAGTTTATTTGTTTATTTAAACTAATGAGTGATGCCCATTTTGTTAGTGCTACGTGGCTTTCTGTGTTTATTATGCAGACCCGTGATGAAAAATTGCAGTTTTTTTTGTTTTTGTTTTGATACTCAGATGCTTCTGAGCACTGTTTTGTTTTTCAAAAATCAAAGTTACCCCGTGAATATTTTATACGGTGTATGACTGTATATGATATCTACTATATATTTGAACTAATTCATTCCTTGTCTACTCCGACCCATTTTAGCCTAGTATTGTATCTCTTTACTTTCTACTACCGATTCCCGGTTCTACTTTTAAATATTTGTCCTGCTCTCTTCTCTTATTACATACGGAGAATAATATATGTTTCCACACGTCCTCTTCTTCTATCAAATTAAGAGTACGTATATGAAGCTCAACTAAAGAAACTACTGATTCACAAAGGTATGTATGGTATCTATATTTTTTTTTTCATACGTATATGATGGAAATTTTTATTTAAAAATTCAGAGTAATTTTCTGGTTTGAGAACTAAAAGAAGATAATAGATATTGATGTTAATACCTGCAGGAGATGATGATTTCTTGAAGGTTTTGAGCAGATTCGTGCTGATAACGTGTTATAAAATGAAGAAGATGAAGACTAAATTTGAGAGATAGATATATTAATAAAAGCTCTAAATATCTTCTTCTTAATATCTGAGAAGTTCTGAATTTCTGAATGAATTTACAATGCCTCATCAAGCTCCTATTTATACTGTTTGAACTTGATGATTAGTCACTTAAGGGATGAATCTACAGATTTGGTGGCAATAACAATTTGAGCCATCTGTTCTAACTAGGTTACAAGGACTAAACATAATTTCTGGATTGATGACAAGGACGAACAATTCACACTTGTCATTTCCAAGATTTTACAACATAATTGTCTTATTGGAACATGATTTTTCAATTTAGGATTTGTTTACTAGATTTGTTACTTATTAAGATAAAATGCAAAATACGGAGTCACTACTCACTAGTTTTAAATGCTCTACAAATTGATTAAATGTACTGCATGCGTCATTAATCTTGAAGTACATTTATGCAAATAATTTTAAAAACATTAAAATTTGCCAACTATCTTTCTCAACTAGTCAACTCTGGCCGCGTCGCTGCCAAGTACATTTATCCAAAGCCAGTCGTGACTCTTGAGACAGAGAATCAGACTGGAATCACTTGGATTTGAAACAGGAATGGGACCGAAAATTAAGGTTTTGGTTTGGGACCGGAATCGGATCAATAGGAAAGAGATTCTAACTAATATTCTTTTTGTTTCTTTTTGCTATTAAACCATTGGAAAGCATTTGGTAAAGGACCAGAGGTGACCAGGACATGTTTGGGAACAAAAGTGACTATGATAGGTATGGAGGTGGGGATGGCAATAGAGGCTTTAAAAGTGTATTTTAAAAATAGTAAAAAGTTTGGGATTGAACCGGGATAGGTCTGGGACCGGTTAGGGACAAGAACTGACTGAGGACCGAAAATGGAGGTTGAGGTCTTCCATATATTATTCTAAAGATCGACCGGTCTGGGATCGGAATCGACCCGGTTCGGAACCGTCCCGGACGGGAACTGGCTTGGACCGGGTTCATGCCTATCTTACTATCTTAGGTGCATGCGCAAAAATCAAACCTATACAATAGAGTGATAAACAACTCAGACTCATTGATTATCGCTGTTGGAGTCCCCCAGCGCTAGCGCCTCGAGGTGCATTTTTTTAGGCCGAACACTGAACACATATCTATCTATTTCTCATTTTTTCATTTTTCAGTCTTTATTTTATGTCTTCGAGCTTTTTGGTTTCACAACTTAGAGTGCATGTTTTATCTCTGTCTGAGAATATTACCCGAAATAGGACTAAAAAGGTTTGAAAATTCCAAAATAGGATTGCCATATTTTTATTCCTAAAATAGGACTAATTATTGCCATTTTTTGGCAGTACCAGGCTTCAAACATGGCAGTATTTTCTAAACTTGCCAGTAATTACTCCTATTTTGGGAATAAAAATAATGACAGTCCTATTTTGGAGTTTTCAAACCGTTTTAGTCCTATTTCGCAAACTTTCCCTACTTTGTTTCTATCTACCATTCTCAATATTTCAAACCATGGTGCACATATGTCTTACATGTTTTGGAATATGGTAACTTATAATCTCATTTTCACTTGTCCTTTCATACTAATTCCATCTAACCGTAATAAAAAATAGGCTAAAGTGTCAAATAGGCCCCTGCACCTGTCCGGAATGCTCAATTCGTCCGTGAACTCTAAAAAGCTCCAATTCACCCCTCAACTCGACAAAAAATTCAAATCTCATTTTTTACAAGTAAAAGTCCGGTCACCGCCACGTAGGGTTGGACCAGGACCGGTCGGACCGGCCCTGTACCGGAACCGGACCGCCATTGTGCGGTACCGGCCCGGACCGGTTAACCGGGACTGGGCCTTGGGCCCAAACCGAGAGGGGGGGTTGGGGCGGGTAACGGGCTCCATTGCTCTTGGAACCGGCCCGGCCGGTCCGAGACCAATCCGAGCCAGTTTTTTTTTTTAATTTTTTTCGAATTGGTTTGGTTGTTTGTGAGTTGGGATTGGTGGTTTGGGGGTGTTTGGGGGTGGGGTAGGAATAAATAAGAAAAAAAATTAAAAAAAATGTACTGACTCGGCCAAACCCGGGCTTGGCCCGGTCCCGGAACATACCCGAGGCGGTATCGGGCCTCCAACTCCCAAACCCGGGTTGAGGATGTTGAAGAGGATTTCATTAGACTTGACTAAAGGCATTAATTTCACTAAAGAG